CAATAAGTGATATATGAGAAGCAATAGAACATGCTATACTTGAAACAGCAAACAAACATATTCCAAAAAAGAAGATCTTTAACACAATGATAAACAGAAGACAAAGTTAAAGAAAACTTCAGTTAATTGTAACCTTCAATGTAAGGGAACCTCTAAAGGCAACTCATGTTCTATATACTTGAATAAAAATGTTATATCTCAAAAATAAGAACTTTAATATTAAAAAAAAAAAAATACCAATGTTTAAATTAAATATAAACTATATTATTTATTAAAATAAATAATCACAAAATCTGATATTTAAACCACTTAGAAACTAGTTCCAAAACATTGCCTAGGTCTGAAAATAAAAACTCAAACTTATATAGAGGGATTCCCAAAATTCCGGATCGAAACCATCGGATTTAGCCCGGCATTAAGTTAGCATTTAGCTGGGCAGCTTTACTTAATGAGTAAGCTATGGTTTCATTAGTAAAACCTTAAGTGATCTTGGGCAAAATTAGTTAATTCTGGCCCTGCCGAGCATGATTCCGAAGTATTCCGATCCTGAATTCTGGGGATTCCCCTATATGAGTTAAACACTTAGGACCTAGCCCCGGAGCATCGTCCGGGTCTGAGAGCTAGTTAAATGAAATCTAATTCTTAAATGTCCGTCCAATGTTTGATGTTCACTTATATCTTTAATACCTTCTTGAAGCCATTCTACAATCATTTTCAATGGTATAATTTTAATAGGTTTGATATTTGAAGTATTACAAGATTCGATATTTGAAGTATTGTAAAATTCAATTTTTGAAGAATTATAAAATTCAAGTGACTGATCTTTATTTCTCATAAATATAAATTATGCTTAGTTTTTTTGATTTGTTTTATAGTATCAAATCTCATTGTTTGTCTTCAAGTAAATTTTTTAACACATAATTTGCTTCATAACCTTTAAAAATACACCAACATCTTGTTTGCTAGTGAAAATCTACTCAATTAACCTCCGAACACTGCTACAAATTCACTATCAGTTTAAGCGATTTGGTGTGGTTTGTCAAGAATCGCATAATTTCCGTGTCTCTGATCTTATCGAAAATGAAAATACGGAAATTTATAATACTGGAAGCTATTTCAATTGCTTTCTTAGTGTGATTCGGAACTGGAAATCAGATCTAATTTAAATCAAGTCACGTAATTCTCAGTTAATTAATAATGAACTTCGATCTTTTTAAGAGTTTCTTTTTACTTTTTTAAAAGCTATTTGGCATTTCTATTAAAAGCCTTCATATTTATAATTA